GGGAGCTCTGCTTCTTACTTTGCATATTGCTTCCCAGCTCCACTGCAGATCCCTCAGCCTGCTAGCACAGATCCTTCATCCCCCGGCACGGATTTTTTGCTTCCACCACTGACCTTTGGGGCTTCCCAACACAGATCCATGAAACAGGCCTGCATGAGACACTGTCATGGGCTCTAGGCCTGCAGTTGGTCTTGTAGGAGGCATTGCCACGGGCTCTAGGTCTTCAGCTGGACTCACACAGGACATTGCCGTGGGATCCAGGCCCTCAGCTGGATTCTTTGGTCTTTAGTGTGTGGAGAGATTTCCCGCACTCTCTTGTATACGACTCCAGGTGACCATTATAAATAATCGTATAAAGTGTGTGTCCTGTCCTGTCCTGTTTGCCCTTGCACACCCTGACTACCACATCCGCCTTCCAGGCTTCCCTCCTGTGCAGCTTCGTGAAGCTCTGACCTTCCCAGTCCCAGCTTTCCACTGCTCCCATGGCGTCTCCTTCCCCAAAGCCAGTTGGTGTCACGGTGCCATGAACCCATCCCTCAGGCCTGGGACCCAGGGTCCCCCGCCTGGGCCTGAGGACTGACCCCAAAGAGGATGGAGCTGTCACTACCCGGCCCCAGAAGTTGCACCCCACTTTTCTCCATCCCAGTGATGGGCACAGATTCGGGGCAAGCCTGAGGCCCGGGGATACAGCTCGGTGGCACAATCACCTGCCTGGCAAGGGCGAAGTCCTGAGTTCAATTCCTGGTACAAAAAAAAAAAAAAAAGCCCAACCCTCTTCAGTAGACAACTTGTCCAGATGTGGCACAGCCTGACCTCTGAGTAAAGCTCGGAGGGGAGCGGGGCCCTAGCCATGGTCCGTATACAGAACCATGGACGGAGTATCGGGTGCAGCCTAAGCTCTCACACACCTCCCAGAACCCCTGCCTCTCCTGAGCCCTGCACCCCTCTTTTCAGGGCCTTTCCCCAGATCCCTTTTCTTTCTTTCTTTTTTTTTTTTTTGGTCTGTTTTGAGACAGGGTCTCCCTGTGCAGTTCAGGCTGGCCTTGAGCTCACTGTGTAGCCCAGGCTGGTCTCGAACTCGCCTCAACCTCCTGAGTGCTGGGATTACAGGCATGCGCCACCACACCCGGCTCCAACTCCCTTTGCTAAACCCTTAACTACCCCCTTACCGGAGGGTCCCTGCCTCAGCTGGCCCAGTGTACCCCACTCCTGTGTGCAGCTGTAAAGTAGGGCTGGGCCCTGAGCCAGCTGTGGCCACAGCTGCTTGCTGTCTGATTGCAGAACATGGCTACGGAGCTGTTTACAGAGGACTTGGGGTGGAGGTCACATCAGTTGTGCTGGGAAGCCACCTTCTCCCGGGCTGTGCCCTGAGGGCAGCCCTGTCCTGCCCGGTCAGGAGGCGCTGGGAGAGGAGGGGTGACAGAGAAGGGAGCTGCCGCTGCCTGGGCCTTTTCTGTCCTCCCCTGCGAGGCCCTCCTCTGCATTCCTGTCCTTAGGTTCTGGAGCCACCCCTGAACTCAGAGCGCAGGGTTTTCCTTTTTGAGTCAGGTCTCGCTATGGAGCCCAGGCTGGCCTTGAACTCACAGTGGTCCTCTGGCCTCAGCCTCCTCAGGGCCGGGATTGCAGGCGTGCGCCGCTGTGCCTGGCTCATATGAGAATTCTTGTTTTTATCACAAGCCAGCTCAAGTTGGCCCCCTTTCCTCGCAACCATAGAGGTCCTCTGCGGCCGTCCAGCTGCGCTCTGGGCCAGCCACTTGGCCTCTTCCCTTGGGCTCTCATCTGTGAAATGGAGCCGATAGCAGCGTTCTGAGCCTACCATGCCACTGGGGCTTGAGTCAGAACAGTGTTGTGACGCTAGGTGCTCCCACACGGGGACCCCCCCTCCACCTTCTGCAGCCTTGGCGGGGACTGGTCCTCGGAAGGAGGGCATAGGCTCTGCTGGATGCTCCAGGCCGGCCAGCCCGCCCTACCTGTAAGTGAAACCACCCCAAAAAGGAACGAAAACCTCGAGCAAGTCACTTCCGCCTCACTTCGGTCCTCGGCGGTCCCAGAGGGCGTATCAGGCAGGGACTGGCATGCTCCTCTTGGAGACACAGTCGTTCCAATGAGCTCCTCTCAGCTGGGCTGGCGAGGGACCCGCTGTCCCAGGTTGACAGACTTGGTTCTGACTGCAGAAAGGTCAGGGCCCCCGTTTTCTTGATGGATGTCTTCTTGCTCTTTGAAACGCGAACTCCCCAAGGCCAGCCAGACCGGTGCATTTCCGAAACGGCCGACCCTGTGGGTTGGGACATGTGACGGGACTTGACGGAGAGATCAAGCAGGGCCCACGACAGCCCCAGCGGAAGACGGATGGCGGGGCTCAGGATAAAAGCGGTGGCCCAGGGCCGTGGCTGGGTCTCGGGCCATGCTGCTCCTCGGGCTGCTGCTGCTGGCGCTGCTGGCTGGCGCCCGCCTGCTGTGGGGCCAGTGGACGCGCAGGGGCCTGCACCTCCCGCCTCTGGCCCCCGGCTTCCTGCACCTGCTGCATCCCAACCTCCCCAGTCACCTGCTCAGCCTCGCCCGCGAGCTCGGACCCATCTACAGGCTGCGCTACGGGCTGCAAGGTGAGCGCCCGCTGCCCGTGTGCCCGCCTGCTTGCAGGCCAGCGGCAGTCCCGCCCTGTGACAGACGCATGACGCGGCTCACTCTCCCGCAGATGTGGTGGTGCTGAACTCCCAGCAGTCCATCGAGGAGGCCATGCTCAGAAAGTGGGTGGACTTTGCCGGCAGACCCCAGCTGCTGAGCTGTAAGGGCCGGGCAGCTTCTTGAGGGAGGAGGGGACTGCAGGAGGCCCTCCCCGGCCCCTGTCCCATCCGGGCGTGTCCCCTGTCCGCAGCCAAGATGGTGTGTCAGCACTGCCCGGACCTGTCGCTGGGGGACTACTCCCTGCTCTGGAAGGCGCACAAGAAACTCTCGCGCTCGGCCCTCCTGCTGGGCACCCGCCACTCCATGGAGCCGCTGGTGCAGCAGCTGGCCCAGGAGTTCTGTGAGGTGAGGCTGAGCGCCCCGGTCCTGCCCGACTCTTCCCGCCATGCCCCTCCATCCTCCCGGCCCGTGCAGCTCCTGTTCCTTCCACAGCGCCTGGGAGCCCGGGCCGGCGCCCCTGTGGACATCCACAAGGAGTTCTCCCTGCTCACCTGTGGCATCATCTGCTACCTCACCTTTGGAAGCAAGGTCAGGCCAGCCTGCACCCCTAGAGCCTTCCCGAGCCTTCCCGGTCCAGAACTGAAAGCCTTATTTCCGGGCAGGAGGACACTTTGGTCCAGAACATACACAGCTGTGTCCAGGACTTGATGAATGCCTGGGAGCACTGGTCCATCCAAATTCTGGAGATCGTCCCCTTTCTCAGGGTGAGGCGGAGCCCACATGCCCCTGGGCCCTGGGGGAGGCGGGCTTGGGAACGGGCTCCCTGCGGCAGCTGACCGCCCCTCCCAGTTCTTCCCCAACCCAGGTGTCCGGAGGCTGAAGCAGGTGGTGGAGGCCAGGGACCACATCGTACAGCAGCAGCTGCGGCAGCACAAAGTGAGCCCCGCGCAGGGACCGGGACCCCCGGGCCGCAGCTGGAGGGCCTGGCCTGCTGTGCTTGGCCTGCTGCTCTCGCCCTCGCCCGCGGGCTGAGGACTCGGCCCGTCCCCCTCCGCAGGAGAGTCTGGTGGCCGGGCAGTGGAGGGACATGCTAGACTACATGCTCCAAGGGCTGGGGCAGTCCAGAAAGGACTGGGGCTCCGGACAGCTCAGGGAAGGACACGTGCACATGGCCATGGTGGACCTCTTCATCGGCGGCACGGAGACCACGGCCACCACGCTCTCCTGGGCTGTGGCTTTCCTGCTCCACCACCCCGAGGTGCGCCCGGGGCTCTTTCCTGCGGGTTTGGCCAGGGCTGCAGGGGCCCGGCCTGCTCTGCTCTGCCCGGGCTGGGGCTGGGGTGCTGGGTGGCTGGGCACAGCTTGGGCCCTGGACTCCAGCCTTGGCCCCGCTCCTAGATGCAGCGACGTCTCCAGGAGGAGCTGGACCTCGAGCTGGGGCCTGGTTGCTCTGCCTCCCAGCTCCCCTACAAAGACCGCATGCGGCTGCCCTTGCTCAACGCCACCATAGCAGAGGTGCTGCGCCTGCGGCCCGTGGTGCCCCTGGCCCTGCCCCACCGTACCACCCGGCCCAGCAGGTGACTCCGAGGCCTGGGGCGCTGAGGAAGGCCTGACGGGTCCTGGCCCGCCCCTGACCCCACTTTTCCTCAGCATCTTTGGCTATGACATTCCCAAGGACACGACAATCATCCCTAACATCCAAGGTGCCAACTTGGACGCGGCGGTGTGGGAAAGGCCCCACGAGTTCTGGCCCGGTACGTGGGGAGCTGCGGGAGGTGCGGGTCGGTGCGGGCGGTCCTGCCGCCGCCGCCACCAGCAGCCTGCTCTCCTCTCCGCCCGCAGACCGCTTCCTGCAGCCGGGCAGGTGCCCCCGGGAGCTGGCCTTTGGCTGCGGGGCGCGCGTGTGCCTGGGCGAGCCCCTGGCGCGCCTGGAGCTCTTCGTGGTGCTGAGCCACCTGCTCCAGGCCTTCACAGTGCTGCCGCTGGAGGGCGCCCTGCCCTCTCTGCAGCCTCAGCCCCACAGCGGCGTCAACCTCCTCATGCAGCCCTTTCAGGTACAGCTGCAGCCCCGGGGTCTGGGGGCCCCGGGCCCGGGCCAGGGCCAGTGACGCGCAGGACCAGAGCAGCCGGGGCCTCCAAGTCTCCTTTATTGCTCCCATACAAATCCCTCCCCCCTGTAAACATGGTGCTGTGAGATCGCGGGCAGAGGCCTCCTGGAGCTTCTCGGGCGCGACCCCTCAGTGCTCGGCAGTCCTACCGGGGTGCAGGAGGTGGGCGGGCGCTCAGCCTCCCCGGGCGGGGGGCCGGTAGCCTCTCGGTCGCAGCTTCATTTCCGTGAAGGGCACGGAGAAGTCGAAGCCCTTCCAGTGGTACCAGCTCACGCCCTGGGGAAGCCGGCCACGAGGTCAGACCGGGGTCCCCTCCGGGGCGGCTCTCGGAAACGCACCGCTTGCCTCCCTGTGCCTTCCCACCGCTCGGCCCCCGGGTGCTGAGCCCCCAAGCCGACCCGTCCACCCAATAAACCACCTTCCAGAGACGGCCGGCGTCCGTGCTCCCACCTGCCCGCCCGGCGCCCGGAGCCCGGAGCCCCCGCCCGCGCAGCAGAGCCCTCACCTGGTGGTCCACCGTGCTGCCGTACAGCCCGTTGAGGTTGGCGTAGTGGCAGTTCCTGTACCACCAGGCCCCGCGGTAGGAGACGGCGCAGGAGATGAGCAGATTGTTGGGGTCCCGATCGCGGGCGGAGAACACACTGCCGCTGTGGTAGCTCATGGAGTCCCCTGCGCGGCGTGCGGGAGGAGTGAGGCGGCGCCCTGCGCCCGCGCCGCCCGGGGCCGGGGACCGCGCTTACCCGCCGTGCCGTGGAAGCCCTCCAGGTGCAGGCGGTAGTGCTGGGCGGCCGAGTCCACCCGGAAGGAGTCGTACTGGGCGAACGCGGCCTCATCCCCGGCCCGGAGGTCCACGCGCAGGGAGTAGTCGCCGGCCTGGGTCAGGCTGTGCAGGGCCTCGTTGCCTGCGGGGGGTGCCTCGTCAGGGCCCCGCGGTCCGCAGCCCCCCCCGGGTCCCCAGCCCTCCCGGGGAGGCACCGACCCAGCCAGAACTCTCCAGAGATGTTGCCAAAGCCGTGGGCGTAGTCCTCCCAGTCCCTCCAGAAGTCCGTCCGCCCGTCCATGCGCCGCTGGAACACCTGGGGGGCGGCGGCGTCAGTCTCGGCCCTGCCCCCCACGCCGGGCTGCACCGGCTCTACCCACCAGCCAGCCGCCGCCGTCGGTCTCCATGTCGCAGAACACGCTCAGGGGCCGCTCGCGGTTGCCGTTGAGGAAGACGGTGGTGGCCCTGGAGGCGCCGGCGCCGTTCTGCATCTCCTCCCCGCAGTCCCTCGGGAAGGGCACGCGCAGCCCACCTGCGGGAAGCGGGAGCCGTCCCTGCCTGAGCCGCGCGGCCCGGGCCGCCCCACCGCCCGAGGCCCGGCCCTGGTACCCGTGGTGAACGAGGCGGCCACGGGGGGCGTGAGGCTGGCACCCCACACGGCCTGCAGCCGGGCGCTGTAGGGGGTGGAGGGGAAGAGGCCGAGCAGCCGGTGCGAGGTGACCCCAGCGGGCAGCAGGATCTCCTGTGGACGAACGCAGGTCAGGGAGGGGGCACCAGGGAGCCACAGGCAGCTCCCCCACGTCAACCCCGGGAGCGCGTGAGGCGGCGCACCTGGGTCTGTCCGCCAAGCGTGTCCAGACTGAGCAGGTAGCCTGTGGGGGGCACTTGGGGCTCGCTCCAGGTGAGCAGGGCCGTGCGGGGCGTCACCTCCTTGGCCTCCAAGTCCTGCGGGGCCTGCAAGCCTGGGAGGGGAGGTGGGAAGAGACTGGGGTGAGGCCCGGCCCGGCCCCCTCGCGCCTGCCCTCTCCCGCGCTGCCCCGGGCCCCACCGGTGGTGAAGGTGATGCTGGCGGGCGAGGTGAGGTTGCGGCCGCGCAGGCCGCGCACGGTGGCCGTGTAGTTGGTGTGCAGCTCCAGGCTGTGCAGCGGGTAGTCCACGGCGCTGCCCGGGGCCGAGCCCTGGAGCGGCGGGGCTGGGGGCAGGTGGCCACCGTCAGTCCCGCAGCCCCTCACCCGCCCCGCCGCACACCCGCCCCAGCCCCTCCAGAGGCAGCCTCGGCCGCTCACCCCCCGGGGCCGTGACCCGGACGTTGTATTTGTCCACCGGCTTCTGCGGCGGCGTCCAGTGCAGCAGGGCCGAGCCCTCGCTCAGGTTCAGCGCACGCAGCTGGGTGGGGCCGTCGGGCACTGCGGGAAGCCAGGCTCAGAGCGGGCGTCTCCCTGCCTCAGCCTCCCTGAGCCCCACCGGCTCCCGCCCCTGCGCTCCCTCCGGCCCCGCCTGTGCCCGGCTCTCCCTCCCCGGCCCCGGGCGGCCCTCACCCGTGCTGAGGAACCCCGTGAGGGGCTCGCTCTCCTCGAAGCCTCGGACGGAGACCACGGTCACCTCGTAGCGCGCGCCTGGGGTCAGCCCCTGCAGGCTGTGGGTCTGGGCCCGGCCGTCCACCTGCACACTCTGCGGCTCCCCTGGAAATGAGGCGGGAGCTGGAGGTCACCCCGGGTCCCAGGGCAGCTGGACGGTGGGTGGGACGCCGGGGTGGAGAAACCGGAGCCAGCAAGGGCGGGGCCGAAGGTGTCACCTCCATCCGCCAGCTGGTAGGAAACTTTGAAGCTGTCCACCCTGGACGGCGGCGGCGTCCAGCCGACCTTGGCTGACGTCTCCCGGATGTCGCTGAACTGGAGGTCACGGGGGCTCTCCAGAACTGGGCGCAGGGGCAAGGAAGGATGGTGGGCGCAGGGGCAGGGGGTGGCTGCCCCAGGGGTTCCCACACCTCCTCCTCCCTGGGCCCCCACCCTCGGCTCCAGAAGCGGCCAGCGCCCCTTCCCTCCCAGGGGCCTCCAGGCTCCTCCAGGCGCCCCACCCCCGGCCCCAAGGATCTGCGGTGCGGGCCTGTGCCAGCTCGGCGCCTACCTGGGCTCAGGGTGCGGGCGGTGCCCTGGATGCTGCCCGCCTTGTGAGGCCCGCGCAGCCCGTAGAGAGTCAGGCTGTACAGGGTCCCGGGCCGCAGGTCCCGGAGCACGGCCGAGCGCCGGGTCCCGGGCACCATCAGCTCCCGCTGCAGCGCGGGACGAAGGTGCGGCGCCAGCGTGCTTGGCAGCGTCGGCACGCCGAAGCGGAGCAGGAAGGAATCGAAGGCCCCCAGGGGCGCCTCCCAGTTGAGTCGCAGGGAGCTGGTGGTCACGTCAGTCACCGACAGCTGGGCCAGCCGTGGCCCCGGGTCCCCAGGGGTCTGGCCGGCAGGAGGGGGTCCTGTGCGGAGCGGGTGCCAGAGGAGGATTTGGACACGGACACGCGGCAGTGCGGTGGCCGGGGGCCGGCGCCTCACACCTCCCAGCCCCGGTCCCTCCCCCTCAGCACGGAGGACAGGACGTGCAGGGCTGTGTCCAGGGCCAAGGTGCGGGTGCCGCCTCCCCGAGCACCCTTCCTGCTCTCGCCCCCGTGGCCCCCTTCGCCTCCCCAAGCCCAGACGGGGACGGCCCGGGCCTGGTACCTGTGGTGCCCTCTGCCGAGCTGGGCCCCCAGCGCTGTCCTGCACGCAGCCCATAGAGCAAGAACTTGTAGGATGTGCCAGGCTGCAGGCCAGAGATGAGGACCTTGTTCTGGTCGCCATCCACGAGCAACGCCTGGGGCTGCCCGTCTGCATCCTTGTACTGCATCACGAAGGAGTCGAAGGGGCCCCGGGCCACGCTCCACGAGAGGCGCAGGGAGTCCGGCGTGGCCTCCGTCACGGCCAGCAGCCCCAGGCGAGGGGCTTCAGGGGGCTCCGGGGCGGGGGTGTCCTCCGCCGGGGCTGTGAGGAGAGGCCGGGGGAGAAGGTGAGCAGGGGAGGGGGCTCTGCCTGTTCCCTCTTGCCCCCCAAAGAAGGGCTCCAGGATGGCCCAAGGCCGGGGGAGGGCTTCAGCAGCCGGGGAGAGAAGGGAGCGACCCGGAGGGGCAGGGTCTGCAGACCAGAAAACAGCAGGGCCCGAACTTCACCAGAGATTCAAGGACAGGCACGAAAAGAGAAAAACCAGGTAAAGAATGGCACCGAAGGACCTTGGGATTTGCACCAAGAGACCAGAAAAAGAGCTGGCAGGCAGCACCCAGAGAGAAGCCAGGGCCCAGTGCTACACCACCACCTCCAATAGAATACAGGGGATGCAAGGGGGGCCGGCTGCCTGTAAGACCCTGTACGCTCACACCCACGCCCAGACAGACACACCCATCCACACGCGTGACCCTCGGGGGTCACTCTTCACTCCAGGGCCGCTGTAGAGTGCAACAGACACCCACACACCCTAACACTAAGCCAGCCGCGAACAGACACCCACCCACCCCAAAGATAAAGCCTTAAAATATGCATCAAGGACAAGTCAGCAGAAAAAAAGGAGCTACATGTAGACCACCAGAAGAACTGACATGAGGCGGAGATGCCCGGAAGCTAGTCTGGTTACAAGTTCCGGGTGAAGGGTCACTCACCCCCTACAAAAGCATCTCACAGCAAAGGGCCCCAAGTCCTCCACCTTTCCAGAGCCGCTCCCCCGATTCCCTCTTATTGGAATGGCTTTCTGCCTTCTCCTCCCCGCCCCTTTCTTTTCCTCTTTACAAATAAAGTGTTTTCCTTTCCTTAAACTTTGTTCCTCTCGTTGTTTATTGAGGCTGAGTTTTCAATCCGGGGGTGCTGCTTGGACAGCAGGGCATGGTGCTCCTCCCCCAACAGCAGCACGCTGAGGTGCTTCCAGGACCTCCCCTCTCTTGAACCGGCTGTGTCCCTGCTGTTAGGGTTTCTGTCTGGAAGGCCCCTCAAAGCCTCATGCGATCACAGCGGGCACTTTTGAGGGGTGAATGGATCACAGATCGTGATATTCGCCAGTGGATTCGTCCATGGACGAGTTTATAGCTAAACCTGATACCAGGAGGTCAAGCCAGGCTGGAGGAGGTGGTCCCTAGGGGCGTGGCCAAGAAGGGCCTCTCCCTCCTCCTCCCTTGATCCCTCTCTGCCTCCCAGCGCCCTGCCTGGAGCTGTCTGCCCTCTGCCATGCCGCCCCGCCTTGGAGCCAGCCGGCCATGGGCCGAAGCCTCTACACACCGCGAACCAAGATAAACCCCTCCTCCTTTTGAGTTGTGGGTGTCAGTGGGTGTTGTGTCTTGGCAACAAGAACGTGACTAAGACACCTGCCCGGGCATGAACTCCTGCCACCCCGGGGTCTCCCCTCAGAAGGGCCCTGCCATAGCCTTTACTGCTTCCTTCCTGCTCCTCCGCAGCACCTGCATCTGGATCACACACTTGATTCCCCTTCCTGCTGAGTGTGCCCTAGGCCCCGGCCCCGGCTGTCTATGCGGCTCTACCCAGCCCATCCAGGGTGGGCCTGGCACTTGCTGGGCTGGGGCACGCGGTGCCCCTCCTGAGGACAGAGCTGGCTGGGGACTGGGACTGGCCCACGCCCCGGGCTCGGCGCGGCTTCCAGAAGCGAAGCCCACTCCCCGCGTGCAGCCGCCCGGTGGGCTTGTGTCCCCCGCGCAGTGTTCTCCACGTGAGAATTGCTCCCGCCTCACCATGCAGGGTGTGTGCGCCCTGCTGGGCGAGGCCACGCGGCTAGAGGCAAAGCTGCTGCGACCGGAGGAGGCAGGAGGCTCACGGTGGGCACAGGGCGGGCTCTGGGGAGCAGGGGCCCACGGCCGGTGGGGTCTGGCCTGGCTCCCGCTTTTGGCCAACCAGTGAGCAGCGGCGGAGGACGCGGCAGGGACCTCCTCCTTCCCCGGGCTCTGCCTGCGGCTCCTTTCTCCCGCCTGCCCGCTCCGCCTGGAGGCCCGCGAGAGCCTCTGCGCCTTCCCGCTGGCCGGGGCCAAGCAGACAGCCTCACCTGTGGCCCCCAGGGCAGAGACGGGCCCCGCGCGCTGTCCGCCGGCTAGCCCGAAGAGCAGGAACCTGTACGTCCTGCCCGGCTCCAGGCCCTCCACGGTGACCTCACGCTGGTCCGCGGCCACGGGCACTGCCTGCAGCTGTCCATCTGCGTCCCTGTACTGGACCAGGAAGGAGTCGAAGGAGCCCTGGGCCACCGTCCAGGCCAGCCGCAGGGAGTCTGAGGTCTCCTCACTGACGACCAACTCCCCCAGGCGGGGTGGGGGCTGCGCAGTCTCCTCCAGGGGAGCTGTGAAGAGGGTCGGGGAGACTCCCGGTCAGGGCTGCCTGCTGGAGGGCCTGGGAACACAGCCAGACCTCCCTCCCGAGGCTGCTGACCAGCCCTTCCTGCCCCAGCCGCTCCCGCTGTGATCAAGGGTACAGTGAATTCATAAAGGATCGTCTCGCTAATGAGAGATGTCTAAGGAATGATTTTTTTGAAAGGGCCGAGAGGGCTGGAGATCAAGCTCAGCGGCACAGCGCCCGCCTGGCAAGCACAAGGTCCTGAGTTTGGTTCCCAGTACCAAAAAAAAAAAAAAATTAAATAAAGGCTGAGGGGCTGAGACAGGAGGCTCACTGTGAGTTCAAGGCCAGCCCGAACGGCACAGTGAGACCTAGGCTCAAAAAAACCAAAAAAAAAAAAACCAAAAAGGGCTGGGGATGTAGCTCCTTAGGGAGGCCACGGTTTAATCCTTGGTAGTGAGAAAAACAAGAGAGAGGGGCTCGCGGGGGTGCAGAGAGACCCCTGATCTCCTTTGACCTTCAGTCTCTGAGCACAGCTGTGGCCAGAACTGAGGCTCCCGCAGCCACACCCCAAGGAGGCGAGCGGGGCTGAGGCCAGGGGCGGGTGCCTACCGCCGCCCAGCGGGACATGGTCCCCGCCGCCACTGCCTCCCCAGCCAGCACTAACACTGGGCCAGGTGTGGAGGGGTGCAAGGGGGAAGGTGGGAGGGGCACGCAGGGAGACGCCCCCCAGGGTGGGGTGGGGGGTCCACAGCTGGGGGCCGGGGCTGCGGGCCGGGCATGCAGGCCCCAAGTACAGATCCAGGGCAGAGAGAGGAGGATGGAGCGAGCGTCCCAGCCCCGCCCGGCCGGCCCAGGTGACTCACGGTGCTGGGAGCGCGGGGGTCAGTGACCCGCCCCACCCCTTGCTGGGGCCGAGTCCAGGCACAAGAGGACAGCGGATTTTTCCGCAGTCCTTGCAGCCAAGCTCTGCCTCACTTTCCACCCCGCCCGGGCTGGGGTGGAGGCGGGGGATGGGCAGGCTGAGGGCGGGGGTGGGGGTGGGGTGCGGTTATTCATCGCCACCAAACAGGGGGGGAGGCCAGGCGGAGGGCACGGCCACACCACCGGGCGTGGGGTCTGACTGCGCTCTGCCTGGCCCAAAGCCTGGGCTCCGCCCTCCCTCCTCGCGTCCCCAGGGGAAGGACACCGTGCTCCCTGCAGGCTCAGGGTCGCGTCCCGCACATCGGAGGGACTTGCTTCTGTTGTGTGAGCATGCTGCCAACACTGAGACGGAATAAATGTCCGGGCAGGCCGAAGACAGAAGTAGCAGGCGCTGGGCTCACCTGTGGTGCCGGTGGCGGAGACGGGGCCCAGCCGCTTCCTGCCCGCCAGGCCGTAGAGCAGGAACTTGTATCTCGTACTCGGCTCCAGGCCGGGCACGGTGACCTGGCGCTGGTCTGCGGCCACCGGCACCGTCTGGGGCTGCCCGTCCTTGTCCTTGTACTGGATCACGAAGGAGTCAAAGTCGCCCTCGAGGACGGCCCACGAGAGCCCCAAGGAGTGAGGGGTGGCATCGGTCGCTGTCAGCTCCCCCAGGCGGGGAGAGGGCTTCACGTCGGGGACTGGAAAACAGGGGGAGGCGCAGAGCCTGACCACGGCAACGAAAGCACAGTCGCTTCTTGCAGCAGGGCTGTGGCTCTGGGGTCTTGGGGGGAGCAGGGAGGAGGCAGCAAAGAAAACCAGTGTCCCGGGACGTAGTGGGCAGGGCAGTGTGAGAGAAGGGGGCTCAGGTGTGGATTTTGCGCACCCAGGAAACAGGTGCATCACCGCGCCGCGGTCCTGCAGTCCGCGAGTCGGGGCAGAAACATGAAATCCCACCAACTGCCACAAGGGTGACGCCTGGCCAAGAGCCCCAGGGCCAGGGCCCTCACTCACGGGTCTTGGTGTCCACGGAAACCGGGCCATGGCGCTTTCCATCCTGGAGTCCGAAGAGCAGGAACTTGTACTTTCGGGCCGGGTGCAGAGCTGGGACAGTGAGCTCGCTGAGGTCCCCACTCACGGGCACCGCCTGGGGCTGCCCCTGTGCGTCCTTGTACTGCACCAGGAAGGAGTCGAAGGGGCCCTGGGCCACGGTCCACGAGAGGCGCACTGTGTCTGAGGTCACTTCGGCCACAGCCAGCTCCCCCAGGCGGAGCTCTGGGGGGGGCTGCGTGGGCAGGGGGTCTGCAACAGAACAGAGCGGGCTAAGGGGATGCAGGACCTGGGGGGCGCGGTCCCAGGCTGGGAAGCAGACGGTCACAAGCTCTGCCCGGGGCACCGTGGCAGGAGTTCGCAGCGCAGTGCCCGGCGCTCTTGCCCAACGACCACCTCCCCAAGTGTGGGACCTGAGGCCGCAGGGGTTAGGGACAAGCTGGCAAAAGCCCAGTTAGCACCTGGGGAAATCAGGTCACAGCCCAAATCTAGAGCGAAGCCTGAGTTACTGAAATCCCAACCAGAAGGCCGAGGATGCAACGGAGCAGGCAATGTGCACCATGGGGCTGCTGACCCAGGAGCCTGGGAGCGCCCAGCGGGCCATGAGCACCACCGAAGGAAGCCAGAACCAGGAGGTCCTGGGCTAAAGCACTGAGACCACCGGGGAACAAGGAAAGACAATGCAGGGGGGGCCAGGGGCCAGGGCCGGGCCTCACTCACCGGTCGCGGCCATGGCGGACACCGGGCCCACGCGCCCGGCCGGGCCCAGCCCGTACAGGTTCAGCTTGTACTTGCGCCCCGGAGCCAGCTCCCGCACGGTGGCCTCCCGCGCCTCGCCCCCCACTCGCAGCACCTGCGGCCGCCCCGCCTCGTCCTTGTACTGGATGCTGAACGCGTCGAAGTGGCCCCGGGCCACCGTCCAGGA